CTGGAAAATGAATCATCACAGCACTCTCAGGCATACAACCGACCCGTCTTAATTTGAATAATTTGTGACTCGCATCATGCGTAGGCCTCCTCACTCGCTTTTGTTACTAGATTTTATGAGCGCGTTATAAGTGGATAGATATCATCAGCGGAAGCAAAAAACTTTTTAGGCGCATTGGTATGGTTCGCATAAACAAAATTATATTGTACATGCAGAGATACAAACATAAGTAGGCAATTTCGCCACAGTATAATTTCATCTTGTACGAAAATATGTACAATTTAAAACCATACGGTGAGCTCCAATTTCTTCAGTAGCTCGTTAAGTTGGTTGCGAAACTTGTTGCTCACTGATGCGAATGCAAGCTTATTCGATAGTGATTTCTTACGATTGTTGTTCAGCGACCTGTCATTGCTATTTGCGGAGAAGAGATTTCGAACAAATGCCGAACTGAATAAAAAACCTCTTTCATTCTTCGCTTCTCCGCTTACTCAAAGTACCATGTAAGTCAACAGCTGAATGCATTCACGATATTACTAGCTTCTGCTTTTGGTAATATTCACAGCACAGTGCCACTCGTTGCTTTACAATTTTTTCTCGTAAATGCTGCTTTTGCTTGTTACAAACGGAGCATTTTTCCAGAAAGGAAACATATCAAAAAAATGAGTTTTTAGGGATTTATTGCATCACTTTTTGATTTCATTTTTCCACTTTGTTTTTTCAAGTTCATCTACATTTTCATGACTGCTAGTTATCTTTTAAAGAGCGAAAGTTTATGAGTATGTACCGATTTTTCATCTCAAGAATACAGGGCTGACACTTTGGGAATTTAATCTACATGCATGTACGGGCCCCAATCCCCAAAATGGGCGCCCTTACCTGCGTGGTACCCATGTAAGGGCCCGTCAAAGCTTTTTGCGAACAAGCTGGAACTCGAGAACCAGAAATACTGGAAAGCTGAAATTTTAAGACGTTCCCCATCCACGCAAAAGTATTAATGAGCTCAAATCCAGCCCCCGGATGTGCATGATACCCACGTGCGGGCGCGTGGAAGTTTTTTTTGGGTAAGCTGCTAATTCGAGAACCTGAAAAGCTAGAAAACTGGAACTTTAATGGGATGCTGCTTAGCTAGAAACATTTGCCGGAAAAACCGGTGCCAGTAGCGAAAAAAACTGCGGGGAACTACGCAAAAAACGCATTTTCTCGCCGGTCGCCGGGCGTTGGCCAATTATCTTGATTAGAAGACATTCGTATAAAAAGTTAAACTCAGCAACCTCATGCCAGCACCTAACGAACCGAAAAATGATGGCAGAGTACGATGCCAAACCTTACTTGCTGCAGTCCATGAGCATTTCCAGAGATGCGTGCAATGCATCATTGTTTTTTTCCAGAAACAACGCTGTCTGATAGCAAACGGATCCCGCAAAATGACGTATTAGCAGCCCTTCGTCATCTCGCATGTCCCGATGCTCTCTTAGTTTGGATTTCCGCGGAGTCTGTAAAAGTGAAATTTAATGATGATGGCCTTTGCTGCTCTTCGGTTTAAAGACGTGGTGAAGAATGATATATACTGATGTAATTAAACTTAATGACACTCTGAAAAAATTTTTGGGCAGTAGCTTTCGAATTTGTGCTTTACAGACTTGATTTTTCGCTTTTTATGCGTTTTAGCTGGCTTTTTGCTGGCTATTAGCGCTGCTAAAGCCAGCAAAGACGTATATTGTTGAGAGGCTGTGTGTGTGTGTTCAGGAGCAAATGCATTTTGTCACACACTTTCATCTCAGCAACCACGAAAGCTGGGAAGCTGAAACTTTGAGTATACGTTCCTACCCTGTGTGTCATCCTCCCCATGCCTCACACGCGCCTAGACCCCGTGTACGGGCCTCCAAAAAAATATACTGGCGGGAAACGATTTCGCGAACCAGGCAAGGCAGAAAGCTGAAACTTTGCAGGGATATTGTCTATGCACATGCGAGCTAAAGATTTTAAACTCAGCTGTCGAGCACCCCAACCACAGCCTCAAGCAGCTCCTCAACCCAAAAAAGGTTAAGAAATACATCGCAACCCGGACCCGAACCCCAATCTTACATGTAAATGAACATTAGTTAATTTGAATACACGAATTTTTCGACAAACGACCGCTCGAGCAATACTTCCACTTTTTAGTGAACTGGAAATTTGCATTTGCCATTTTTTCATAAGGCGAGTATTTACCGAACCCAGGCTGAAACGCACCAGGCGAGCCGGTGCGATCATGCGTTTTTGCACAATACT